GATCGCTGGAGCCCAGCAGGTCGAGGCTGCGGTGGCCAGGAGCAGCCACTGCACTCTAGTCTGGGCGACTGAGACTCCAACTCAAACAAAACAAAACAAAACAAAAAAACAAAGTTGAAGTTACTAATATCATCAAGACATTGTAGAACTATCTTTACTAGTGGTTGATTTGTCAGGTAACCTGGTTGAATGTTACCATTTCCCTACCTGTTAAACAAGAGGCAGGATGAGATTCTCTCTAATGACACCTCTTGCTTTGAAATACTATTACTCTAAATAAAAATTTAGAGAAAATCACAAAATGCATCCTTGTAATTCTCAGTAAGTCCAAACAACACACCAGGATACCACAAAACCAGAAAACTAAGATATTCTTTTATAGATGTGTGTGTGTGTGTGTGTGTGTGTGTGTGTGTGTGTGTGTATGTGTGTGTGTAGTGGGGAGAAACAAATCCACCCAAAGTTGTAAAGGAAAAGGCAATATGTAGCTATGGAGAATCTTGCTCTATATTGGGTACTCAGGTCCAAGAAACATTGTTGGAGACCTACTACTACGTGCAAGGCACAGTTTAAGTTGTTATGGTTCAATTTTAAAATTATTACTATTATTTTGCCAGTAATCTCTTCAACCTGAACTGGTGAATCTCGCCTTTGGTGGACATAAAAATAACGTCACAGCCAAGGAGGGAGACAGTCTACAAACGGATCTAAAATATAACTCAAGTGACATCATCAGAGGGGGGAAAAAGAGTAACATATTGCACAGAGATCAGAGACAAAACAGAGAAATGTGTTTGGTTAATACTGGGCTTTAGCATTTCATGTGCTCGCGAGGCCTGTCCATTCATCCACACCACACTTCTCAACCACCCTGTTGCAAATCTATGACAAGTCCAGCTTTAGCGAGGATCCTGCACTTATGCCACAACCCCAGACCTGCTGCCAATGCTCCTCTTTGGGAAGGAAGGCGTTTCTCCTAGGGCGGCTGCAAAATAAAGCAACCTTTTCGATCTCTTCGTGCAATAAGAACGAAATGTAGGTTCAAAAATAAATAACAAATGGGAAAGTTGTGAGTAGAAAGGGACGCTCCTTTCTTTTCATTGTAAAATTTCTCGCAGTCCTCTCCTCTCAGTCTCCCCACCCCATCTCGACTTGGAGCAACAGGTCGGGAGACCCAGGACAGTTCACCGCCAGGCGCTCCAGCCGAGGGTATCGGAAAGTAGGCGGGGCAGGCCAGGGAATAACTCGGCGTCCGATTTCTCCTGCCTTCGGCGGCGGTTCCTCCCCCGCCTGGTTACTCGATTGCACACGCGGCCGGGCTCTCGGCCCTCGATTGCTTCGGCCTATCACCCTGGGATG